AAAAAAAAAAAAAAAAAAAAACCCCACAAACTAACAAAATAGAATAAAGATATGAAAATCTGTGAACTCTATGAAAATCCGTGAAATACATTTCCTTATATTCTTGGACTTTTTTTTTGAGTTGGAGTCTCACTCTGTCGTCCAGGCTGAAGTGCAGTGATATGCTGCTCACGGCCACACCAACCTCAACCTGCTGGGCTCAGGCGATCCTTCTGCCTCAGCCTTTGAAGTAGCAGGAACTACAGCATGCACTACCAAGCCCAGCTGATTTTTTTTTTTTAATTGCAGAGACAAAACCTCACCAAGTTGCCCAGGCTGGTCTCAAACCCATGAGCTCAGGCATTCCTCTGGCCTCGGCCTCTCAAAGTGCTGGGATTATAGGATTGAGCCTCCGTGCCTGGCCATATTCTTGGACTTTTTTAACTAAACAATTAAGAATCTTTTTGGTTTCAAGTTTTAAAACTTTTGCTTTTTTACAAAAAATAAAATAGATACATTTAGATTAATCAGTTGTACTGTGATCGCATATGCACAACCAGCTCCATGTGTATACTGTAATCAGTTGATGCAGCACAGCAATACATCCACTTGAGAGGAGGTGTTGACTCAAACTCATATGTCCGTGATGAGGTGGTCTTGGCTTATCAAATGCTGCTGCCAGTCTCTAAGTCTCTACCAGAGGAGGTTATCACAGAGAAAACAGTTTTCTTTGTATGGCCTAAGAAATGTCAGGTGCACATAAATCTCTCTTGTTTTTTTTTTAACTAGGTGTATGCCTGTCAAGTGCGAGCCACAGGAAAAATGTATGCATGTAAAAAGCTAGAAAAAAAAAGGATAAAGAGGAGGCAAGGTGAAGCTTTGGCTCTAAATGAAAAAAATCTCCTAGAAAAGTTACATAGTAGATTTGTAGTAAGTATCCTCTTTTAGTCTTCTCTGTATATTGCTTGATTAGTAGCACTTTTACCAGCAGATTTGCGATCACTCTTATTCAAGCCACGGAAGTCATTCAGTATGTTTCCCTCATTGATCTTTTTTTTAAAAAATTTTTTCCACGACTCCTATCCTATCCTCCATTGATCTATAGATTAAGTGAATTGCATTCAATTTCAATAAAAATCCCAATGGGTGTATGTGTGTGTGTGTGTGTGTGTGTGTATGTGTATGTGTATGTGTATGTGTATGTGTGTGCTGACTTACAGACCAATAGAAAAGTGGACAAAAAACTTGAGTAGACATTTCACAAAACAGGGTCCAAATGGCTACTAAGTATATGGAAAAGTATGAAGTATCCCCTATATTTGCATATGTAGAGAAATGCAATTTAAAACCACAATATGAGATAACTATACCTCCACCAGCACAACTCAGACTCAAACTAAAAAGACTGACAACTGAAGAAATTGGGAGGATGTGGGACAGCAGGACCTCTCTTGCAGTGCTGGTGGGGGTGTACTTTGTGTGCTGAATGCAGGTGCTCCGGAACTATGGAATGTTGGGCTCAAGTGACTAGAGCACAGTGTGAAGGAGTTGTGTCTCCAAGTGTCTTTGTGAAGTTTTGCCACCTCTTCACTTAGACATAGAAAGTTCTCCCTTTTAGCTACATAACTGCAGTAAGATCTTCAGTAAGCTATGGTCCAAGGGCCACATGATACATGTTATAGATTACTCCGAAGCATGTAGTCTTTGGGTGTTCCAATTATAAATCTAACATGGATTATTTGAAATTTTTTTTAAGTTTTAGATCCAGGGGGTACACATGCATATTCGTTACGTGGACGTATTGTGTAGTGGTGAGAATTGGGTCTCGGGTGGTCCGTTCCCTAGATAGTGAACATTGTGCCCCATAGGTAGTTTCTGAACCCTTCCCCTTCCTCTCTCTGTTGCACTTATTAGTGTTCACAGTGTCTATTATTTTCATCCTTGTGAGGATTATTTGAATGTTGTTAGCAAATAGACTATATGACCAATGAATGAGCGATTGTTTTGTTTTTATGATGTTGCTGCCTTTAGGTTACTTTAGCCTACACTTATGAAACCAAAGATGCCTTGTGCTTGGTGCTCACCATTATGAATGGAGGGGATTTGAAGTTTCACATTTACAACCTGGGCAATCCTGGTTTTGATGAGCAGAGGGCTGTTTTCTATGCTGCAGAAGTGTGCTGTGGCTTGGAGGATTTACAAAGGGAAAGAATTGTATACAGGTAAGAATGGTGCTACATAATGTTGCCTGTGAGCCTCAAAGTTTGTTTCTCATAACCCTAGGCTTTCCCTATGTCATTCTGGTTGTTTACAGGCTGGATAAGAGAGCAGCTAGGAGTCCTCGATGGTGATTTCCAGGGGTGGTCATTACCACTGTTGGAAATATGGCCAGTCAGAGGTGGGTCCTGGGTTTCCTTTTAGTTCTCTTTCTTATTTATTTATTTAAACTTTTTTTGTTTTGTTTTGTTTTTTTTAGAGATGAGGTCTTGCTATGTTGCCTAGACTGGTCATGAACTCCTGGGCTCAAGCGATTTCCCACTTCGGCCTCCCAAAGTGCTGGGATTACAGGTGTAAGCCACCTGTTCTCAACTTTACTTCTCTTTAATCTCTAATAAATTATGTTTTTGAAGTAGAAGTTTGTTTTTTACTTGTTAAATTTATTAAATAAAGGTAGTACTACTACTCACGTAAGCATGAGAAGTGCCGATTTCCAAGATTCTTAGATATTTTTATAGGTCTGGTAAGGATATTCATTATGTCCCACCAAAATAACATAACAACAAAATGTCTTGAAATAATATTTTCTTCTTTTGCATCTTAGAATTCAGTAAAAAAAAAAGTCAAGTGAAACATCATGGTTTAGTGTAATCAGTATATTTTGTTTTAGGAAAAAACTAGTTTCTCTACTTATCCTTTAAATGCTGGCATTCCTGGGCTTTTGAGTCTCTTTTCAGTCACTCTCCCTGGCAGTTTCTTTTCTGGGGGTTCATCTACCAATCACAGTCAGTCCTCTGTATCCATGGGTTCCACATCTCAACACCTTACCAGATGGCCTCTGGAGGTTCAGTTATCTGGGGGACACTACTATAGTTCTTTCCTTGTCAAAACTATAGAGGGTCAACCGGGCTTGGTGGCTCACCCTATAATCCTGCGCCTTTGGGAGGCTGAGGTGAGTGGATTGCCTGAGCCCGTGGGTTGGAGATCCGCCTGGGCAACTTGGCGAGACCTCATCTCTACAATAAATCAAAAATTTAGCCGGGCGTGGTAGTGCGTGCCTGTAGTTCGGGCTACTCGGAAGGCTGATGTGGAAGGATCGCCGGAGCCCAGCAGGTCGAGGCTGTGGTGGCCAGGAGCGGCCACTGCACTACAGTCTGGGTGACAGAGTGAGACTCCAACTAAAAAAAAAAAAAAAAAAAAA